ACCATTAGGTGAGCAAGGAAATATTAATTATTATATTGCTGCTGATGAAGCTTTCCCATTATCTACATTTATCATGCGTCCATATCCAGGACGTTTTTTACCTCAAATAAAAAGAATATTTAACTACAGATTATGCGGGGCACGTAGAGTGATTGAAAATGTTTTTGGCATTCTGGTAGCTCGATGGCGTATATTCAGAAAACCAATAATAGCCAGTCAACCAACTGTTTTTGCCATAATTAAAGCATCAGTTTGCCTACATAATTTTATTATGAGGTCAAAAACTGCAAAAAGAAATTATTTTAGTAATGCCCTTGTTGACAGAGAAGATATAAATGGGAGATTAATTAAGGGAGAATGGAGAAAATATCAGATATCTAACCTTTTGAATGTAGGAAGAGTGGCCTCAAATATGTATGGAAGAAATGCAGAGCAAACTAGAAGCAAACTATCTACATATTTTATTAATGAGGGCAGTATACCATTTCAATGGGATAAATAAATTGCACTATGTGACAAAACAGGACAGATTATTAACCAAAAATTTAACGCCTAAGATTGTTAATGCCCTAAACGTTTTTATGTTTACTTAATTTCTGAACTCCCTGTTAAATTTTTTTGGATATCTTATGTATTAAACAAGAAGTTTTTATAAAAAACGATTTGTTTTGTTTAATTGCGACATTAAATCCTGTGTGTATATATTACTGATATTAGGCATCAAATTTCTGGTTATAACTTCAGTGAAATTGTTTTACTGTTCCAGTGTACAGATTACTTAATACAACAATAAATAATAATAAAAATGAATGTTTTAATCTCAAACAAAATTTTAACAATACTAAAATAAAAAAAAAATTTAACTTAAAATTATGATAAATAATCTTTTGAATTCTCATATGCCACTTGTAACAATTTTATTTCCAGCCTGGTCCTAGGGCCTTGCGGCATTTGCTCTAATAATTGTGAAATCCTGTCACAAATTGGATTAATTTTAGAGTGAGGGCTTGGGTTTGTTACTTCTATTGGAGCATTTACTTTGTTTAACGCATCTAAAATAGCATGCTCAACATTTTTCCTCTCTTTGTCCTTTGTAAGATTTTTGCCCTTACGTCCTTGTTGATTTGGCAAATCATTTGGAGAAGTAATTGGACTGGAAGTTATTGACGGGCTTTCAGTTCCAAGGGTATTTGGGGATAAAATGACGTTAGATAATGTTGCCTGATATTTTATAGTATCATTAAGGAAAGTCATATACTCAAAATACTCCCACTTTCTTTTTTTGGATGCAGCTGCCCCACTTGGAGTGTATTCCCCTTTTATACGCACGTACGTATCTCTGAAAGTTCGCCATTTTTTTGACAAGAATTCCACAGAAAAACCTGCATTTTCTCCAAATTCCCTATATATTTCCTGCCAATTTTGGTCCCTAATTGGTTTAGAGCGTTCTTTTAAGGGCAGCCGCGAATCCCATAAAGGGGGCCTCGCTTGAACACACGAGATTAGTAGTTCCTCAACTGTACATGTTTTGGCAGTATGTTCGGAAGGCTCTGCTTCTTCACTAGAGTTATTAAAACCAGAACTAAAAGGCCCATCTTCTTCAAAACTATACATTTTAATTTATTAGACAGATAATAATTAAAGTCACAATTGTTGACATAATTGTAACTATGACAATTAAGCATTAGGTAAATTTAGTAAAGTGAATATACTGACACTTAATTTCTATTTGTCGCAAAATTAATCCGTTAAACGTCATTCAATAACGGATGCATGAAAATTAGAACATTTCTTGCCGTACGATTTTATTGAAAAACTGACATACGGATGACGGACAAACGGATACATGAAAATTAAGCTTTATAATTGGACCAATAAGAGCGCTCCCGGATGAACGGACTGACGGACAAACGGATACATGAAAATTAAGCTTTAGTCTAAATTAGACTGTCTAGGTATAATGTGGTATCAATTATGTCATGTGACTCACATGTAAGTTTAGCCACTTTTTCTTGAAAACCCGTGTTTTAGCGCATGCTGCTGATACACTAAAATAAATATTGCCGTTAAATATACTTACTAAATATATTAAACACGATTTTTATTTTATTCGCAACCAGTGGCGTAGCTAGCCTTGAGGGGGCCCCGTATCAAAAATCTGGTAGGGCCCTTATACGGGAAAAGCTGCTGGCAAAAAAATTTCTGGGTGCCAAGCCCAATTTTTGGGCAAACAAAATTTTTTTTTAAGGTATCATGTTTTTGCATTTACCAATTTTTAATAATTTATCAAATAATATATGTATACATAGCTTTTTATGTACAGACAAATTTTAAAATTTGGTCTGGCTTTAGAAATTTACTGTTCTTCAACATCTTTTAAAAGGTTTCTTTTTTAAAATAAAGGCAAGTCATTTGAAATAATTGTAACGCTAATAATTATTTCTAATTTGCTATTAATATAACCTATGATAATAACATGCAAAGCAGACTCAGTATGCGGCGCAGAGCACAGAACAATATGCACAGACTGCGCCGCAGACAACGCATGGCGGAAAGGTGCGGGTAGAAACAATTCGCATGAGTTCACGGCCTCGTTGGAACAGGAGGGTATTCAGGAAAATTAGAATTTAATAAATCGAAGTATAAACAATTAAATAATAATATTATTTATTTATTTAATGTCATGCCTCAATTTGTTTAACATGTGGGTAATATGTTTTTTGCTTACGCAAAGCCAATCGAGGGCCCCCCCTTGCCGGGGGCCCCGTATCATTGATACGGCTACCGCGGTAGCTACGCCCCTGTTCGTGTTCGAAACATATTTACATTAATAGTAAAATTTTGGTATAAAATATCACAAGAATTTTTGCAAATGGGCTACTTAAAACAAAAAATAACTGTCACTAGCTTAAGCTGTTTCTGTATTTGGACGAAAAACAATATGTAAGTGATTGTCGAAAATATCCTTAGAGTCAAACTTGAAAACCCAAACATGGGACATGAATAGTTGACTTTATTAAAATAATTTTATCTGCTCCTACATTGACTAGCTGTGACTTTATGGCGTTTTAGTCACGGGCTGAAGTTAGCAATAGTAGCTTTTGGGCATTTTAGTCACGGGCTGAAGTTAGTTAGAGAAAAGTGAGGTTAATTCCGATGATATTTGACAGATGTCAAATGTTTAACAAATAAAATTGGATTTAAATTCTTCTTTGTGGTCGTCGTAGATAAAGTATAGTATGCAACTCGATTTATAAACTTATCTAGACGTTTTTATTAAACACTCGCTTGCAAGCTTCGCTCGTGCTTAATAAAACTCGTAACTAAAATGGCGGTTATAAAACTTGATACATAATATACTATATTTATTTAATATTTTTTAGTTCATAAAAATTTTATAAATAAAGGTTTACATTAAAGCATTTAAACTTGAATAAAAAAGTTACTTTAGTTTTATTTTTTTACATTTTATTTTTATATAGTTTATTATGTTGTCCCATTTTTGGGTTTTCAAGTTTGACTATTTTTGACAATCTCTTTGACATTGTTTATCCAGAAATAGGTCCTAAAAACATTTTGGAAGAAAATAAGACAACGAAATAAAGAACAAGAAGAAACAAATTTGATGGATGTAAAACAAAATAATTCTATCTTACTAGAAAAAGATATATTATAATAAGATAGTTTCAAAAGAAAACTGCAATAGCCAGATCACTTCAACGGAGGTGGTTACTAAATATTTTTTAAATAAATGTATTTTTTGCCACCCAATATTAATTAGGTACCTATGTATGGTATGGTCTCAAAGGTTGTAACTGCAAAAAACATACGATTTTATGACTGATATTTTTTTGAGGGATGAAAAATATTAAGAAACATGTCACATGTTCCATACTTTTACTAACATTTCACGTGGATGTATACACAAGCTAGTTAGTGTATTATACTTTTACTTGATGCTTGTAAAAATACACTTTTACAAATTTTTCACATAAATGTATACACTAGCCACTGGCAGATTGTGTGGATTTTGGGTATACTGATATCTCAGTTAGTAGGCATGGGATCCACACCAAACTTAAATGAGTTTATAATGACATTAAATAGACAAGTTATGCGCAAGCCGAATTTAAATTAAAGTTTTCGAAAAAAAGCGCCTCACCAGCCCCCTGCCAATCCCAATTAAGATTATTCAAATTAAAGTGGTGCAATTCATAATTTACTAAATCTAAGAATTACATATTTCATACCATTTAGAAATTTTATTATTCTTTTAACTAAAATTTTAAAAAATTAAAAATGGTAGAAAATATGCAAGTCTGATTTTTAAAATAAATTTTTAAAATTTTTGATAAACTTTAATGTATTATGAATTGCACCACTTTAATTTAAATAATCTTAATTAGGGGTGGCAGAGGGCTAATGAGGCGCGCTAAAAAACTAACTTTTTTTTGCACTTCAATGTTAATTGTCTATTTAATGTAATTATAAACTCATATAAGTTTGGTGTTGGTCCCATGTCTACTAACTAACGAAATGTATACTTTGACTGTGACATATACATGAAGTTCGAAAAAAAAAATGTATTTTTGGAGATAAATTAAAAAGTAAAAGCATTTAACATGTCAATAGAAACGATTACTTTTGAAAAATGAGAAATTAACAAAATCTGACTAAAAAATTACTTTTATCAAAAATGTATTCCAAAATTTTCAGAAAAATCAATATTGCAAATTAACCATAAAAATGATGTGTCACATATTCTGGGGGTTTAATCAAGCAAAAACTTTTATCAAGAATGAATTTTTCTGAGAAATGTAAAATATTTTTCTTTTTTGGAACCCAATCTGTGGACATACTGTATAATATATAACATAATCAACAAGTATATATAATATATGAAAATGTAACTTTTCTTACAAATGTAACTTGTTGATTATGTTAAACTATTGTGGCTTCCACCGATTTCCTAATAGTAAGTAATTTAATTATTTACTTACCATTAACAGAACTGCAGAATTTTTTTGAGTGTCTCCAATCTTCCCTCAAAGAAAGGTTGTACATTGAGTAGTGAGGATTGCCTGTAACCTCTTGTTGAATATCTAAAAATGTGGGCAAAGTTTTCTTTAAACTTTCCTCGTCTAATGCAGAATAGGTTTCCAATAACATTAGTCCTTGACACCTAGATTGAAAAATCGTTAGCTAAATGCATAAAAACATTTTCGATATGTTTCTTACCTTGGATGACTTGGTTGAACGTAGATGTCCAGTTGGAAGTACTGGTTGTTGAAAATAAAGCACCTCCTTTTCTTGTAGACGGTAAAATGGGACTCGTCCCTTTGCGTCAACAGATTAATATAGTCCCTGTGTGTTATTTGGGTTTTCACTTCGATCACTTGCCCACCCGGGTTGTTTTGTCTTCTTACAGTGTGAATATAACTGTAATAACCTGTCAAAAAATGTAGATCATGAAAGATTTTTTTTGAAAAATTAAACTCCCATTTACCAGGCTTTGTTGTTAGTAAGAGTTTTAAAGTGTTGTTAGTCATAATAAAAAAGCTTTTGTACTATTCAGTATATTTGCATACATTTTACACAGTACATCATAAATTTAACAGTTGTTCAACACTTGTCAAACACTAAACAATAATAAATAGATTATAGATGGCGTATTTTGTTCTCACCTTTCTGTCCACGCTTGCGCAGTCTGACTTGGTTCGGCGAATTCGATTGCAAATAGTTGTGCACGACCTCGAAGTCCTGGAAGGGCGGGAACACGGCTTCGTCCGGAAGCGGTCCTTTGATTAAGTACTTGTGTTTGCGGGAGTCCTTTAGAAGACGGTCTCCGGTGTCTATGCTGATCTTGTGACACACCGACACCAACATGCGTCGGATTTTCCCTTCGAAATCGGTCGAGTTGTCAATGACGTCGAAGTATGGATGGCCGACCCAGGAGGCGGCAGCCTTTGAGTCCAGCTCACGAGCCAGCTCGATTCCCTCCGAACGGCAGCTGTGGTCCTAAAATGCAAGGAGTTTTCTTTTGTATTTGGCAGGAGTAAAAGTAATATAGTAAGAGTTTTTCAAAAACCATTGCCATTTCGTAAAACGCGCTCGTGCACACCGCTCACAGTTCGCCGAGTCCAAAGTTTCAACAATAAAAATATATAAAAGATGAACAGCATATTTTTCAGAAGTCCATATTTCTACCTTGTAAAAAATTGTTAATATTGTCTATTATTACCAAAAACTTACACTCTTAATAAGAAAATTAGGCTCAACAATAATTAAAGACTTTTTGTATACAACATTTTTCCTTTAAAAATTAAACATTTAAGTTTATTTCAGAAGGCAAAAATACGTAAGTGGTTTCGGCTACGTTACAAATTAATCAAGTAGGTACCTAGGCGGCTTCGGCCACCTTTCAAAAAGATAGCTGTCAAATAATTTTCAACTGTGCAGAAAAATATGTCACCCCATAGACAAGTGCCTCGGTCTCATGAGGATTCTCGGTTTGCAGTGTGCTATATGTGTTTCAATAAAGCTGTGCGAAATGTGAAAATAAAGGGTAAAGTACTTAGTTTAATATTGGATTTAATACCTGAATATAACATACATATATGATGATTGTTTGCCTGCGGTTATTTGTTGCAGTTGCTATGTTAAATTAATGCAAAAAAAGTAACTGCAGTGGTTGAATACACCACGGATAAAATTAGTCTAAAAAGGCATGAAAATTTAGAAATGTGCAATTGCCCCATTTGTCAAGTTGCCCGTTTTCGTCCCATTCCAAATGCCCAAATTTGCTGTTATAACAATAAATGACTTACGAAATATACAAATCGCAATTTACCTGAAAATAGTTTAAAAAAGCTAACTCAACGAATAAGTAGGTAAAAAATTAATAGAAGCAAATGCGATTCAAAACATTAAAGACCTTATTCATTCTTTCGATGACTTTTTTTCTCATTTAATTGTACCCGAGGCTGACGTTGGGGAACATGTGACAATCTGTGCCTTTGGTTTACTGTAAAATTGGACCTTCCGAATGGACCACGCTGTAATGCTGGCCTTTTAATGAAATTATTTTCAAAAAATAAATGTCAAAGAATGTTCTTTCAGGTCATAATAAAGATTCCGCCATCCAATTCCATTTTATGCATTTTATTTAGAATTTAAAAACAAAGGTCTGAATCACAGGTTATTACATTTCATAGGAGTAAATATACCAAAATATACAACATACTGTAAAAAACAAATACCTACGTAGCCGATTTTGAAAATATATTTTTATACAAGGGAAAAATATGCGGTTTATCTTTTATATATTTTTATTGTTGAAACTTTGGTCTAGGCGAACTGTGCGCTATCGTTGTTTCAAATTCATAAAAACAATCAATTCTACAAGTGATCTACTAGAACCAAGTGCAAAAAGGGTGTAATTTGCGTGTGGCACCTTCACCTGGATTAGGTCCCAGAGTGCCCTATACGTGAAAAACGGTGTGAGGGAGGTGACATGGATACATCAAATAACTTTTCCTGAATTACCAACACAGAAACAACGCCTGCTAATAGTGGGCGGCCAAAGTTAAGGAATAACTTTACCACACCTGCCTAGGTATCAATGATACCGTATCATGCACCTCTTCAGTTCAAGTCCAACTCTGATAATTATCCAGTTTATAAACTGGATAAGTAAAATGAACAAAATTGCATGACCTAAATAATACCCAAATACTAAAATTGAATGCGAAATTAACCCAAGTAGCATTATAGTGACGAAAACTGATATCGGCACTTAAAATAAGTGGCAATTATGTTAAAATAACTAAATCTACCACGATCCAGTTGAAACATCTTCATACTATATTAGCATAGTTGTAATCATGTGATTTGCACTAAAAGAATATACTTTATCTACTCCTACAATGACGAGTTGTGACTATGGCATTTTAGTCACGGGCTGAAGTTAATAACAGTGGCTTTTGGGCATTTTAGGCTGAAGCTGGCTTTATTATAAATTGCGAAAAAGTGAGGTTAAATTTGTTAAATGTCAAATTTTATGAAATAAAATTGTCTTTAAATTCTTATTTCTGTGCGTCGAAGTATAGTATGCAACTCGTTTTATAAACTTCTCTAGGCACTCGTTATTATTAAACACTCGCTTGCAAGCTTCGCTCGTGCTTAATTAAACTTGTAACTAAAATGGCGTTTATAAAACTTGATACATAATATACTATTATAGTTTTATAACTTTCTGGTGTATTAGTCAGGTATCTAAAACGTTATGACCACTTTTGCCACCACCTTAAAGTTGTCTAAACTTTATACTGGTTTAGGAATAGTAACGGCAACCAAATCACATCACTTAAGTATATATATTATAATATATATCAGTTTTGGCAACGTTTTCGGAACTTTTCCCAAACCTTGAATGTGGCAAAACTTGATTATATAATTGCGTTGGTGATAAGTGATTTCCACGTTTCGCATAGGATTACCACTTTAAAGTTCCCTTCTTCAAAAGAAGACATGTTTACAAATAATCGCCGTTGTAGGAAAATAAATGTGTAGTTTTAAACAAATAATTCTGTACCTCACCAAATTTAACACGTCAATACATAATTATTGGTTTCAGGTGACCCGAAATAATAAAGAAATTATTTGAGGCCTCTAGATAAATAATTTTCATATCCGCTAAGTTATAGATTTTTGTATTCTTTTTTATTACTACATATTTCAACGGGGCGTGCTTATATTTCGAGCTATGAAACCCATGTTTGACAGAAAAATTTAATTCGTGTTAATTTCATGTGTTTGAATTATTTCAATTCTAGTTATTATATACAATTCAAGAACGTTGTTGGAACGTAACTGACACTAAAAAAGTGCTACTTGGGAATTAACTAACAAACACCAGGTAAAAATAATTGGTCGCCAACATTTCCCACAAAAACAGCAATTTAGGAAAAGATTGAGCAAGTCAAAATAAGACAAAAACCCAAATAAATATTTTTCCTAATTACTTATGTTTCCAAGATACAGGGTGATAAAGTGTTACTTATCATATCAGTTTTTTTATATAACCTCTACTGTGATATTTTGCGAACAGTCACTTACTACCAAAACACATATTCACACATAATTATGATTGTTTGAGTGAACACAGTGTCGTAGAAACGGAGATTGCTTTAAGCTTATTGTCCCATACAAACTTTGAGGTTAGGTACTACCTATATGATAAAAAAAATTGTAATTGAAAAAACTACAATTTTTTTAATGTGAAGGTCAGGGCAAAAAGTCCCGAGGCTCATGAAATGCTCTTTTTAGTTTTTAATGTTATCCGAACTTTTTAATCTAAAAATTGCATCAAATGTTATATAAACCTAACCTCAAAGTTTGTATGGGACAATAAGCTTAAAGCAATCTCCGTTTCTACGACACTGTGTTCACTCAAACAATCATAATTATGTGTGAATATGTGTTTTGGTAGTAAGTGACTGTTCGCAAAATATCACAGTAGAGGTTATATAAAAAAACTGATATGATAAGTAACACTTTATCACCCTGTATCTTGGAAACATAAGTAATTAGGAAAAATATTTATTTGGGTTTTTGTCTTATTTGTCTTACCTATTAGGTACCTTCTAGTCCTTTAATGCGATATAACAATTATTGTAATCTCGAATATCTCGGAAACGGTTTATTGTATTGAAGTTTGAGAGGTACACCTCTTTAATAGTAGCCGAACTGAGTTATCGAAAAATTACATCAAATGGTATAAAAACCTAACCTCAAAGTTTGTATGGAACAATAAGCTTAAGCAACCCCTGTTTCTATGACACTGTGTTTACTGGAACAATTGTAATTATGTGTTTTAGCAGTAAGTGACTATTCACAAAATATCACCTTTCCAAGTCTACCACAGTAGAAGTTATATTAAAAAACTGATATGATAAGTAACACTTTATCACCCAGTATCTTTTAAACATACCTAATTGGGAAAAATATTTATTTATATTTTCGTCTTATTTTGACTTGCTTAATCTGCTCCTAAATTTATGCCACTAAGTTCAGGGACACTTGTATGTAACAATTGTTATGCTTAAGTATACAAAAATTAAACTAAACCAAAGATATCGGTTTGGAACAGGTAGACGTTATTATTCGCAGATAAAAAATCAGGTAGTTGTTTTTAGACCTTTAACCTCTAAAAACAATGTGGTTACTTATAAACAGTGTTGTCATGAAAGTTCACGACCAAAAATTACAAAATACCCGATTTTACTCGCAAGAGTAAAAAAATATAAAAAAATAAATAAAATTTATTAATTTTCTAGCGCATTCGCCCTATTTTGACAAATGAATTTAATTTTGTATTAATCATGTATGGAAGATTTACCTGCCGGGTGAAAATTCGGATCCACCAAACACAAGTAACGCTATGCAGTGGCGGGATACGTAGGAGAACTGAAAGGGGGTAAAATAACCCTGGGAGATCAGTGTAAGGCGTTGCCGATGGGGCCTGCCATACGTTCTTATATATACTCATATATAGATAATGCGATATGACTAACCTCAGTGGAGTAATATTCTTCAGCTCCTGTGGCGGCAGAAACCATGTGAATTATCTGATTATAGCGATTGTCTCTTAATTCTACGTTGTTCCAGCTGTTGTCTTTCATAATGGTTTCCCATTTGTCTTTGGCAATAACTGCAAAACATAGATTCATTTTAAGTTAAAACTTCAACATGAATTAGTGAAAATCGTTTCCAAAATTGTTAAGCAGCAAAAAAACAAATATACAATATATCAATATTAAAAAAAAATAACATTAAAATACAGGGTGTCTCCGAATTCCATCCAACAATTTTAAGTGGTGATTTTATAGCACAAAATAAGGGAACATGTGGGGACAAAAGTGCTTTATAAGGGAGCAACACCCCATTGAAGATGGAAACATTTACATTTTATTTTTTATCTCAGGTGGGATTCAAACAGGGGGGTCATTATTTAATTAATTAAAACGATTGAGGATCTTTTCCCAAATTTAAGTGAGTGATATTCTTTATGGGTATTATAAATTGGATGCAAATTACGTGATAAAAATTTAAATGTTTTAAGCTTATATTGCTAAAATTATGGCGTAGAATATTCATATATGTATTATGTATGTTATCAGTAAAACTACCAATTGGTAGATTTATTAATAAAAAAAATTACAAATATTTTTTACTTACATGCTGAAGCGTCCATGGCGCCTCTATCACAAATAATCAGACAGTTTCTTTTGCAGGTCCGTCCCAATTCGAAAAAAGTATCCTCAATTTGAAGCATGGTCTTTAGCAAATTTTCTTGGAATTTGACGGCTGTAAAAAATAAAATAAATACTAACCAGGAAAGTTTTTGCAATAGGTTTAAATTTATAGCGATAATACAATTATGGATTAAAAATGCGCTTATACAGGGTAATTCATAAGTATGGGTTTTTGGCAGAATAAATTTTAAAATGTACCTACTTATGAATATCCCTATACAAATGTCCCTGATAAAGGTCTTTAGTCGCAGAAATGTATTATTACAAGCAAGATTGTATTTTTAATAATTATTAATAAATTATTTAGGCTAGGCTAGGTTTATTTGTATATGTCGTGTCCAGACCTATTATATTAATGCTTTATAATCAACAATCAATAAAAGTTTTGTATGTTTACTTTTAAATAAAGCACTTTATTTCGTGACTCAAGACAATGTTACGTAAGTATACGGTAAAAAGTAATCTAATATAAAAGCATGTCTGAATGACCGCACAACCGATTTATTATTTAATTTAAAATGTAGTGCTACTAGATAAAAATTTAAATTGAAAAGTAAACAACAATAAAATAATCTTCGTGATTTATATTCAAATTATTTTATCATAGCGCACTTAGATATTTCATATTACATTTATACAGGGCGCACTACTAAGTGTACATTTTTATTTAAAGATCTACAAGGGCCTGAATACAGTGTTCTTGCTAACCTTATAAAATTCAAATATGGCAGTCAACACATATTTATACCGTACCTTCATCGACCGGGAAAATACATTCCCCGCCATAGACTAAAATGTTTTTAAAAGTTCTTCGCTTAGTGTTGACCGCGTATTATCTGTTCCACTTGAAAATTTTCCCTATGTATACAAGACAGATAGCGTTTATTGAAAAGGAACCAAGCGCCAAAAACTTTTTCTGGGGTAAAAAAAATATATGCAAAATAACTCATTTTTAGTGCTGCTCAAAAAATTAATAATGAATTGGGCACCTTCTTAATCCTTTTGAGAAAAGTTTCAAATGATGATTAACCTTTTAAGCAATATTAAATATGAGTTATTTTACAAATAATTTTACTAAGCTCAGAAAATGTTTTTGGCGCTTGGTTCCTTTTCGATAAGCGTTATCCATATATATATACAGGGTGTCCGGGAAAAGGAGGTCAATCCGTTAACCATATATTCCTTGAGTTAAAACAATAAGACTTTCATAATACCATTTTTCAATTTAGGCCTTCATGTTCGATATACAGGGCGACAAAGTTTGAAATTAAAAACTGATTTTTTTTTAATAATTCGAGTAATTGATAAGATACTAAGTTTAAATTCGGTACACTACTTCAACATAAATAGTTACATTTTTTGAGACCAACAAAACAAAAAACAATTGTCAAATAATCAAAATAGGGGGGTCCAGTACTCACTGACTCCCCCTATTTTTTAGTACGTGCGCCAATGACTTCCAAACAGAATTTTTTCAGGTAATCATTTATTGTTGAAAATGTTTTGTCTCTTATAAAATTTTGATAAAATGATTTGTTTTAGAGATAATTTGTAAAGTATGGGTCAGTCCATATCAAATTTTCAAAAAAAATTTTTTTTTGAAAAAATGTAGGTCATGTGATATATCATAAAAAAGTTCTCTAATAGGCCTTTAAAATAAGCCTTCACTCACCTTTCTACTTTTAATAGTTTACGAGATATCGCTATTTTTGTAAGTACTTGCAAGACCCAAATTTATCGGAATTTTTTGATTTTCAAAAATCAATAAAACAAAAACCACCTATCGAAAAAAATTCATATTTGGGATTTTTGAGTTTTTTAGTGAGGTAAACAAATTTACCAAAAATGATCAAAATCGGAGATGGTGGGGGAAGAACCTTTGGTTGATTTGATATGGACTGACCCATACTTTACAAATTATCTCTAAAACAAATCATTTTATCAAAATTTTATAAGAGACAAATTTTTTTTAACAATAAATGATTACCTGAAAAAATACCGTTTGGAAGTCATTGGCGCACGTACTAAAAAATAGGGGGAGTCAGTGAGTACTGGACCCCCCTATTTTAATTATTTAACAATTGTTTTTTGTTTTGTTGGTCTCAAAAAATTTAACTATTTATGTTGAAGTAGTGTACCGAATTTAAACTTAATATCTTATCAATTACTCGAATTATTAAAAAAAATCAGTTTTAAATTTCAAACTTTGTCGCCCTGTATATCGAACATGAAGCTCTAAATTGAAAAATGGTATTATGGAAGTCTTATTGTTTTAACTCAAGGAATATATGGTTAACGGATTGACCTCCTTTTCCCGGACACCCTGTATATATATTATATTAAATTAGGTTAAATTAGAAAAAAGTTGCGTGATTACCACGTATTTAACCCTTATGCAGGCGCACCTCTTTATGCAACGTGGTAGGTCGCGCGGGGTGTCAGAGACACCCCTGATGGCAAAGCGTCCTTGAGTGTTATTTACATTTTTTTTTTGTTTTTTTTAAGGTTATCAAGTTAAGATGAGCTGAGAGACAATGAGAACATATTTCGTTGCGTTCAAATTTGATAAAAGATGACAAAAAAAAGAAAATGTCAAAAGACGACAATTTTAATCAAATAAAGCATTTATTAAAAAAAATACAAATTTTAAGTCATAATAATAATAAAAACAAAAAAAACACTAAGCACTTAAGATAAGGTTTACTTTTACAAGTAATTATGATTTGGTAAAAAAAAGTCAATAGGGAGGCGAAACCCAGCCTGCTCACGGGGTGTCCACAGCACCCAGAGCCTGTTTAAAACAAAATACCAGACAACCTATTACATTAACTTCAAAATCGGAAAAATGTAATATGACTGAGAATACTTTGACAGGAAGGTACTGAAAGTAAGCGCCATTTATTCGAATCGAAGTGAGACCGGTAGCTATATTTAGGAAGCTGGGGTGTTTTGTACACCCCGCGTGTCTGTTAAGGGTTAAGGATAATAAATTATATTATCCCTAAATACGTGGTAATAACGCAACTTTTTTCTGATTTAACCGACCTTGTAGCTCATCAAATAAAAAAGATACCCATACATAGAAGGATACTTGTTGCGCCCTGTATAATAAGAGAAATAAAAGCAACTCTAAAATTTGTATAGCTCAGTATGATTTCAATAAGCTTTTATGAATAAAAAAAAAAAAATAAATAAAACCAAAAACAAAAAATATAAAAACCAATTTTATGAAGGTAAATCGTCATTTGAATATGTAACACTGCCAAGTCCATTTTTTTCAGTTCTTGCCATTTAATTGTCATTTGGTACAGTAACTGTAAGAAATGTAAAAATAAAAAAAAAATGGACTTCTCAGTTTTACACATTTTATTGACGAAATGTTTATTTGTATACAAAAACTAGCGAAATACAGCACAGCGAGCCAATCCTGGCTTACCCTCGCACTGTGACTCCCTAGCCTCGCATGGTTCACCGACCTTTTCAATTTTTGGTAGAAGGCAAAAGGCTAAACCAACAAAAAAAATAACAAAAACAATATTCAAATAATAAATAAACAAATAATATGTATAGTTTTTTTGTAAGCCAATCAGATCACGCCGTTTTCATTGTTCTTGTTGAGTTTATTTTACTCTTATTTTTCAAAATAGTATTAAATTGTAACAAAACCTTGATGTTAATTAAGACTCTACAAATTAAAGAGGCGAAGCTTTATTTATTACCCATTTCTCGATGCAATTATATTGGAAGTAAAAGTTTAAATTAATTCACTTAAAAAAAAGTAATTTGATTTAATTCACGTTTTAAATCACTGCCAACCCTGTGTCAAAACAAACGAATAAAGTTTATTGAGGAGATAAACCATGGAGAAATAAACTCAATGGGATAAACACAGAGCTGGGAGTATCTTGAAAAAAAAAGATACTTAAAAGTAACTTAGATACCTAAAGTATCTAAGATTCTTTAACTTAGATACTTTTTATATTGGGCAGAAAGTATCCTTAACTTAACCTTATCCTTAACTATAGTAACTATAGTAACTAAGATACTTTTTAAAGTAACTTGGCTACTTTTCAATGTAACTTAGATACTTTCTTAGAGAAATCTATGGGAATTCCAGAATGATTCAAAGTAATTCACTTAACATACAACTTGTTGAATTTTCATAATTTTATAGTTTTTATTCATACTTAAAAGTAACTTAGTTACTCAAAAGTATCTTTGTTACTTAAAAGTATCTTAGTTACTCAAAAGTATCTTAAAAACTTTCATATAGTATCTTAGATACTTTTTGATAGTATGAAATGATACTATATATATATATTAGGGTGTCCCTTATTTTTATTTTTTTTACGCATACCCTCTAATTATATTTATTACTTGTTTATATACTCCCAGTAAAAATTTCAGCTCATTCTATAAACGGGAACCCGTGCCGACTTGTAAGTCATTTTGTGTTTGTTATTATGTGAACCTTATATTATAAATTATTAAAAAATGTTAAAATATAGTTTTATTAATGTGTATACTTAATAAAAATGAATATTTTTACTGGAAGTGGCTAGTTACCCGGAAGTGTCGGGTGAATAGGCCGTAAACTCTAAAATTGATAAACTTAATGGGTTTTACTCTAAATAACAAAAAGAGTCTATTGTGAGAGATGACTACCGAAAAATTATTGAGCTAAGCTAATGCAGGGCTTTCACGGTTTGTTAACCGCCGATGAAGAGCAGAAACAATTTCTTCTGCGTTGCGTGCAACAGCACAGAAATCTATATCCTAATTGTAAAAAAACACTTTAAAAAGAAGATATACTTCATGACTGTATTTTTCTAATGATTTTATTAAATATGATTACTAATTAATATTATTGCTTTTGTTTCTATCATTTGTTTCACTAATTTAGTTGATTTTATCCCTTAAATATATTAATATACCAATTAGTATTGCTAAAATATACTGTTATATGAAATTTCAGCTTTTTATAAGCATTTCTTTTCTTGATGTCCTCCCAAAAATATTTCAGACAGTTCAATAAGTTTTCGGTAGTCATCTCTTAAAATAGACTCTTTTAGGTATTTAGAGTAAAACCCATTAAGTTTATCAATTTCAGAGTTTACGGCCTATTCACCAGACCCTTCCGGGTAACTAGCCACTCCCTGTGAAAATATACATTTTTATCAAAGTATACATATAAATAAAACTATATTTTAACATTTGTCAATAATTTATAATATAAGGGTCACATAATAACAAACACAAAATGACTTACGATCGAACCTCGCGACCAACCGTGTTACAAAATACCGCGCGCCTAACGTTGGCTAACGGAGGGTTCAGATGCAAGTCGGCACGGGTTCCCGTTTATAGAATGAGCTGAAATTTTTACTGGGAGTATATAAACACGTAATAAATATAATTAGAGGGTATGCGTGAAAAAATAAAAAATAAGGGACACCCTAATATATATATATATCCCGGTCAACATTTACTGTAACACAGTATTGCCGTTATGTAACATAGGAGTAACATTAACGATGTTACTAAAATGCAACGCAACAGTTACCTAAAATAATGGTAACATTGTTACCGTCCCAAGTTAACCAATATGCAATATAACAATACCGTAACATTGCGATACTATTGTAATGTAACAAAATTACAAATAAGCAATGTAACAACAATGTAACATTGTGAAACTATTGTAATGTAATAAAATTACCAATAAGCAATATAACAGCAACGTAACATTGTGAAACTATTGTAATATAACAAAATTACCAATATGCAATATAACAGTAACGTAACATTGTAAAACTATTGTAATGTAACAAAATTACCAATCAGCAATATAACAGCAACGTAACATTGTAAAACTATTGTAATATAACAAAATTACCAATATGAAATATAACAGCAACGTAACATTGTGAAACTATTGTAATAAAAAAAAATTACCAATATGCAATATAACAGTAACGTAACATTGCAATACTATTGTAATAAGTTTGTTAGATAACAGTTACATTTATGTTACGTAACAAACTTATACTTATACACATCATTTACATCTCGCTCGTGTTACCACCTCGATTAGGTATATAAACGAAGTTAAGACAGCGCACCATGTCCATTTGTCATTGGACTTCAAACAGTATGCCTGATTATGGGAAAGTCAAAATACGATATTATGTATTATTTGATACGCTTTAGCGTTCAACTGACGGGACTTTCTCATGTCGAGCATAATAACGTTTCAACGTAACAATGTTAACATAAGTTCGATTGCGAAAATGTAACGGCAACGTAACATTGTTACCTACTTGCAACCATCAGGTTATGTAACTGTAATGTTACACATTACGATTCTTGCATAACATTTTGGTTAATGTTACATTACAGTTATGTTTAAATTTCATAACGGCAATGTAACATTGTAGTCCATTAAAAAGATACATAACAATTATAATGCATTTATGTAACGACAACGTAACATTGTTATGTAAAAATGTTACTTAAAAAATCGGGAAATAGGAACCTATTTGCAACCGTCAGGTTATGTAATTGTAATGTTACGATCGTTACATAACATATTGGTTAATGTTACGTTACAGTTATGTTTCACTTATTTAACGGCAATGTAACATTGTTATGTAACTGTAACGTTACACAACATTTTGGTTACTGTTACGTTACAATGTTGACCGGAATACTTCCTAAAGTATGTATCTTGTAACTAAACATACTTTTAACTCAAAGGTATCTAGTTACCCGGGGTAACTAAGTTATTTTGTTTAAAGTATCTTAGAAAAGTAACTAGATATTTTTTAGAAGTAACTTTCCCAGCTCTGGATAAACAACAACAGTTCAAGTACAACGTTTGGGAGAGCGAGGGTCAGTTCTAGGTTATGTTCTGCGGTTCTCGGGGAGCTTCCCGGGACTAAAAACTTGGTAGAGGTAGGTATGGCTGCTATTTTGGAGACGCTTCAATTTGGCCAGACACCAAATGCCCCCGGGCTATTTTTAACGCGCACGTCGCAACGCCATTTCAAAAAGCCGCGAACTCGAATTAACAACACAAAGCGTTTGTTTTAATTGTTTGTGCCTCATTATTAATATATTTACTTTAAATAATTAACGTAATTAATTTTACTTACAAGTTATAACCATTGATATTAAATAACCAACTTTTAAAAATGTAAATAGTTAAAAAAAATAGATTGTGTAACTATATTTTTTGTAGGAAGTAACTGACCAAGGTCAAGTATATACAATGTATATACTTGACCTTGGTCAGTTATATATATATATATATATATATATATATATATATATACCTATATACCTATATCAGTTATATTATACATACTAAAATTAAAATACATAAAATTGTATAAAATCAGATTTGAACTTAAAAACCAAAATAGTACATTATCTAACATTCGGAGAAAGCGCTTATTTAAAGCCGACCTGTGTTCTCTGCCGAGGCCTTAGCCGAGGCTGCAGATCTAAACGGGGCAGATAATGTGCTTTTTCTACTTCTATTATGGAAAATGACCGTTCTAACATCACTTATTAATGTGGAATTACATATATTCCTTAAAATGTTACAGAATGAATTATTCTATCATCGGATAACGGAATAACACATACTTAGCCTCTTCTAAGCCTATACCGCTTATTTGCTTTATTTTGTATAGATGACCTTGTTTCCTTTTTTGAGTACACATACTTATAAGTATGAGGCTATAGCCTCTTTTAAGCCTATACCGCTTATTTGCTTTATTTTGTATAGATGACCTTGTTTCCTTTTTTGAGGGGAAATTTGTCGATTTGACGTATGATTTTACCTTATGCGTATAGACTGTTCATGAGTGGGGGATTTAAAATATATGATACCATAGACATGAAAATACTTCCAAGGATGATACGAATTGTCAACTAAATAAAATTTTTCTAAATCTTTTGCTTACATCGCCTAGGTTAATCTTACATAAATTTCTGTGGTTTGGCTTTATAAAAAGCAAAAAGTAGCATAATATGCATATTATGTAAAAGCTACTTAAAATCTCGTAAACACAATGGGAAAAAAATGCCAAAACAATTGGTATACAACAGAAAACAAACAAAATGGTTCATTATAAAAAACATCTAGGTACATGTTAACCATTTCCGGACGAATGTCGCACGCACGCGACGGAAACCATTTGGTGCGCACCGCCGAACGTCGCCTATAAGCGACCTAGTGTCGTTTATTTGCGATATGAAAGTTTTTAGAGTACCTCTAGGAGCCTTGTGTCGCAACCTTTCGACGATCGATTGTACCTTGTGAAGCCGTGAGTCGGTTATATGCGACAATTAATAAAAACGCTGATTGCGCGGCCGAGTGTCGCGCATACGCGATAAAATTACTGTCGCATATACGCGACACTAGACCCATAAAGGCGCAAGCCGGCTAAAAAATAGCTCCGGCAGTACAGACATGCCGCACGAATTAAATTTCGTCCG